TGAGCAATAATGAAGACTTTATACGCCTCACAAGAATTTATTAGTAGACTCGCAATTGAGAGTCTATCATTATTATGTTTTTTTTTTAATTTTTCATTCTCCTTCGCTCGAGTCTCGCGAGCTATTCTCTTTGCAATTTATACTCTTTCTCACGAATCAAAGCTCTGTATTTATTTCTTAACAAAAAATCTTGCAAAGAGTGAAGAGACTTACGATTACTAACTATGCTTCATGGAATCCAGAAGTGTGATACATAGAAGGGGACATAAAGCCGAAACAAGTACGCAGAACGTTTATTTAGCGTAAAATTTTGCGAAAGCACCCGCTATAAATCGTGCCGTGATTCTTGATAGAGAGTATGCTGGTAAAATGTACAACGCAAAGAGAGAGTCGCGCGTCTCTCTTGAAATTAAATAAGATTAAATTAAATCGACTAACTTGAATTATAAGGTACCGTAAATAATTGCGATGCGCAACGTTCCAGACTCTCTCTTTGCGTGACTATCATAGAGCTGTATAATTTATTTGTTTGCCAATTTTGTAGATTTGTCCGGTCGTGGCAGATGCAAGTCGCGAGTGAATTTTACCGGTTAATATATATTCGCCGTTATTTGCCTGTTCTTAGCAAAATTTCCGCAAAGCTTTCGGGAAAGCAAAGCAATACGTGCGTTCCGTGACTGAATAATAATATTAAAGTGAAGAGATGTAAGGAAAACATGCAAACATATTAAATTATATTATATTATATTCCCGTAGAAATAACATGCTGAGTCGAAAAGACAATCGAACTTTTTTTTCCAATTGCGTTTTTTCTCAACATAGTCAAACAATAAACGGACGCGATTAGAATGGAGCCGTCATTGACTGCAAAGGAAGTGTATTGCGCCCTCCACCTCTGTCTTTTTTTCTTCTAATTACATCGACAATTATGAAAGCATATTATTATCAGCTCGCTCTCTGGCTTGTCGACTCGGATAACGACCATATGGACAAATGGATGTTATTCTGCACGAATGTTTTCTTTTTCTCGGTGACGCACACGAAGAGAGAGGCCAGCGACGAGTTGCGCGCGCGATCGATAGACCTCGAAAAATAACATCGACCTACGCGCAGGACGGTTTTTGCGACAACAGAAATACGAAGAGATAATTGATAATTGATTAATCGAGCATATTGCAACGCGTAAATAATAGAACGTTATTTTGTGTTGTTCGTTGAATATTTTTCATTTCAGTAAATTAAAGTTGTATTAAATAAAATAATAAACAGAAATATTTTCTCTTTCTTTAAAATTATATAAAATAATAACTAAATTTAGTGAAACATGATGAGGCGACAATTTATTTGGATTATCATTCTTGACCGCGTTACTTTTTATTTTTCTGGAATCAATATTCTTTTCATCTCTTTTTATCACGATAATGTCAGTTCCAAAATTGTAACATTTTAATATAAATTGACAGCGCATTTTTATGAATATCATAAATAATTTGCAACGTTCGTTTGTCTGCCGAAACGTTTCCGTCCAATATATTATTACATTTTTATACATTTCACACGAAAAACTGTTTTATTCACAAAACTTGACAAAAATTATTATCTAATTTTGTAAGTACTCGTAATATCCTTTATTAAATTTACTATGGTAATATCATATATTTATATAATTAATATTATATATTTAGCAATATATATATATTTTTTAACAGTAAGTTTATAATTACGATTAAAGTTATAAAGATTGAACATGTATATTACACACACATTAATAATTATTGCATTATATCATGTTAATATAGTAAAACTGAATATCAAAAAATTGAAAGTATTATTGTAGTTATTTTTGTAGTAAGTAATTATTGTAGTAAGTAGTTATTTTACAATTAATTTATTTCGAGATATTGTAAGACAGTTTTAAAGTTACTTCTCCTTTTCAGTCATATTAAAATTAAAATTGTTTATCGAATGTCTCTCTAGCCGATAATGTTTTAACGCTTAATAAATCGTGATTCTAGAATATTGTGCCAATTAGATGTGCTTATCCAGAATAGTTTGTATGACGTTGTGACATGCTGCCAAATCGAAGCGCTTTAAACAGACATCTGGACGCAACAGCACTGTAATCCGTACTAACGAGGGATTAGTACGGAATGTACAATTCGAACATTCGATGCACAATTTATGTAGGTGATTTTTGTTATTGTTGCATATAACTTTTTCTTGATAAAGTTTTTAGTAAAAACAATTTATATAATTTTCATATTAATGAATGTAATATTAAATAGGGTGTTTTTTATATAATAGCATAATATAATAGAATATGAAAAAATATGCGTGATATAATTTTCTCGTTGATATAATTCTTGAATATTCTCTCCCTAATTAATAAACTGAGAACTACTGATAACGTGAGAACTGATTACATTAATAAAAAAGTAATTCATCTTCTCAAAATTGGATGATCTAGATCTTTCATAGTACGCAAGATTTATACCGACGATCTTTTTTATAACAAGCGCTGTATGAATAATGAAAATAATCTACGCTCCCTCGTTGCATTAGAGACATTATTTTACGGGATGAAAACTTTTAATTTGGATAATATTGTTAAATGAAAAGTCTCGATGACCATTCGATATCGGCTGGCACCGTGGAAAAGAGGAAAATCTCTCGGCACGACGTCCCACGGCGCTTATAACTCGGAAGCTTATTTTCGCGGCGGTACGTGTTCTCCACGAGTGGGTGAGCACTCGTAGAAATGGTTTCTAACGGTGCCATCCTGACCCCGGTCACGCATCGCGAGGGCGAGGGAGCGTTGTTAGAAGATGAGATCTCGGGAAAGTCACCGTACTGTGCTCGTGAAGCGCAAACGAACCTTTACATAGGCACTCCTTTTCTATTTTCCTATTTTCTCTCTTTCTTCCGTTCGTCGCGTCGGCACGACTGCCGCCTAATTATTGTGCGTATCCTCCGTAGATGAAATTAAATGAAAGCGGCCTGCGAAATTTTACACAAACGCCACGCGCCAATATGCGAAAATTAAATTGTACCCTAATGCTTTCAGGACTCTAATTCTGACTGTTTAACTTATTTATCGCGCAATGTGACATACATGGTAATAAAATGAAGATTAAAGACATATTATATTATACGCGATAACGAAGATATTAAATTAATCCTTTAATTGCGATTATCTTCACGTAAAAAATTTATAAGTTTTATTATAAATATATAAAAATAAATTAAAATAAAAATAAATTTTAAGTACATTGTTAACAGGAGCGTCAGTTCAAGACACGCCGAAAATTACATCACATGAAAATTAAAAAAAAAACCGCGAAATTTTTTATTCAGAATTTTCAATTTTATTTTTAATTTTAATAACAAATTGCTTGATGAATTTTTTGCATGCTTATATAATACATTTAGTTAATACCTTCTGTTCCTTTTGACAAAATTGTGGTTAGAAAGAAAGCATTATTTTACCAATAATAAACTGTCATTATCGTATCTTTTTGACATTGTTATAATCAAACGCAAATATTGTTAGCAGGAATATTATGAAAAGAATAACAAAATAGGTGCCCGATAAAAGCCTTTTTATCTGCCGTTTTAAACTAAATCTAGAAACGCTGTTTCGCACAAGATCCGTTGTACAGTAATCTCCGTTATGCAGATCGGAACGCGTTACTCACGGTGGAGTATAAAATCACTTCCTGCGACATACGTGTATAAATTCCACTTTTTATCATCGTACCATCAATTTGCGTTCTAAATTATTTTTTTTCTTGTTAAAATAAAATTGATTTCTCCATTACTTTCGTTTTGTTTATCTTCACTTGACTATTTATTCGTTTTATGGCCACAAACTCATAAATTTTTACGTTCACGAAGAAGAAACGGCGAATGACTTCTATTGTTTGTGCAAACTTCCATTATCCTGATGTGTTTAAAATATTTATTCTTTCTATTTTATTGTTTGCAATGTCGCTCTTAGATTGGCTGCACGCCAAAGATAAATAGTTTTTTGTTTATAAAGAATATACAGATCAAAATAATAGAAAATCTGATTCAGAAATTAGAAAAATAGTTTTATATTTCAAAGCTATAGATAACACTTAAATTTGATATAATAAATTTTATATAAAGCAATATTTATTTTTACTAGTCATGTTGTCATATTCATGCGTACTTGAACTTTACAATATTTTTCTGCATTGGGAATAGAATATACATTTTGTATAAAATGATATTGACATTTTCGTGTCACGAATTGTTGGCCTCTATGATTTAGCCATTGAAGCTAACAAAATATATCATTTTAAGCGTTATTTCATTATAACTTTAGTTTTTTATATTATTATTATTTCATATATTTATTATAATTTCTGTTCTAAAGCTTAAAGCAACGAATGTATGATGTATCATATATGTCAATTTCTTTGTAATATCTTTTGTTATTGATATATACATCTCCAGACATATAAATATAATTTAAATATTCATAGATTCATTACTTCGAAATAAAAGTTTACCACTCACCGATCGATGCGCAGCAGCGGATGCCTCATAGACGTCCTCCTCTTCTTCCTCTTCTTAGATGTCAGGATTCGTTACTCATTTTCACTAGTTCATTAGTGTTCATTATGTGATATGATAAACGCGCGAGACTTTTCACGGCACTCCCGCACTCGTATAATACTTTACACTAATTAAAATATTATAAAATATCCATGCCACGATGAAAACGAACGCGCGTACATTTTACGACACTCCCGAATTTTGCGATCACGAATCAATATTTCATTTCGCGCGAAAATCGCATTTCGAGCCAACAAATCGGCAACGGTAGCTTCTAACAAAGGTCAAGCTCGAAGCGGAATCGATAGGTGGGATCAACGCGAATAGGATTCACTCGATTCTTGTCTTCGTATCTCAAATTATTTATTAAATTATAATGATATATATTCGCATCTCAAAGTAGCTTGAATTCGCTTAAGCACGATTTTATATGAGAGATACGAGGGTGTACTATGCTATAGATTATAGATAATATCTTAAGGCAGGATGAACACGAGAGAGAAAATATCTATTTCCGATACTAGCAATCTAGATAATCTAGAAAATGGGAATTCAATCTCTCGTAACGAGTTAAAATCGGTTTAAGTAATTTTAATCAATGCAATACATGTCACCAACGATGCAATATAATATGGTTGATAGACAATACAAGAGAAGAGACCCATTAATGATAATCTACCGAACTCTAACCAATTCGAGCCGAACCGTTTGTCAAAGTAGAACGTGCTCTTAATCGGCCGAATCTCGAGCGTGAATTCAGAGCCTGAAACCGTGCGAACATATATACATGAACATGTACGCGAACGACATTATCTTGTATCACGATACATTTGGCGTGAGAACGTTGTCCAACATCTTAATGAATATCCCATTTCGGCATCGGAAATATGATCCTCAATGAGTAAGTGTAAACGGGAATATCGGTAAAACGAGCTTGAAGGTGAATCTTGAAGGTGCTGACAAGTCCAACATTGACACAATACACTAGCGCATGACACTCGCACAACGAATTGTCTGCAACACATTGAAAACAGGAAATATTTATGATTTAACACAAAATATTTTATCCTTTGTATTTATAATTTTGTATTTATAATTAATAATAGAACGGTTGGCACATCTTACAGTTCTATCTTTCCATTATTTAAATGTTTCAATCATTTATATTTCATTTTATACATTTTCTAAAAAAATTGTTTTCCATTATTTAAATTATTCTCTGGGGATTCGTATATTACTCAGCTCTCTCAATCCGGAAACAATGAGAATAATAACAAATTATTTTTCCGCTTCGCGGAAAAAGCGCAATGCGAGATATATACGAATCATCAAACTTCGTTAAAGAAATAATTGTTGCTGATATATATCACGACGTAATAAAATAAAATTCCTTTTCCTCTCGTTGTAATTTCTATTTTAAATGAATAAATTGCGCAATATATTTTCTTAATAAATAGCCACCGTTTTACAAATCGTTTGTGTGCTGTTACATATGTTATGTACGAGTATGTGTGTTCCTGGATTACACTCTATGTATATATAATTTGTATAATATAATGTACGTATAATATATAATGTATGTATAATGTAATATATGTATAATTTAACGTAATGAACAAATTTTATATTACCAAATTTTAAATTTATTCACATAAAATCGCCAACGACAATCACGTAAAAACATATTATTATGCGCTTCTCTAATGCGCAATATTTAATTTCAAAGATAATAAGAGTTTTAATTTAATCATTTCATTTTCTTTAAAAATTATTTAATTAATTATAAGCTCTAATTAGCAAATTGTTATACGTAATAGTTAATCGTTCAGAATTTTGCGATCAAATTTGGTTGAATTACAATCGACAACGAAAATTCCAAAAGAGAAATTTTAAAGAAAAGAGAAAGGTCAAAGTAGATAGAGCGGTCTTGGGAGAAATTCACAGAATGCTATGATAGTTATCTGATTCTTGTAGATTCACATACGCCGACACACGAATACGCACATATGCATACGAAGCATATGATGTTGGAGCGTTAGTTGACTACCGGCAACCACCCTTTACAGAAGCTAAGCACGACAATGGGCAATATGACTATAACCATCTTGGGCGGAATAGTAAACAGGCGAAGCATGTATTTCTGATTTCAGTCGAATGACGGCGGAAATTCCATTCTACACGTTACTATTACCTTCCCTGTGCAAATAATAGTTAATTCGGTCAAATTGTTATTGGCCGTTTTCATAGAAATACAAAATGTGAACATAGACGGAATAATGTATTTGTCCTGACCAATACCATTATCGCGGTATTGTCTGATGGCGTATTATCTGAATATGTTATGTGAGTAAAGCTATTCGCTATTCGATAGACGTATTGAAACAAACGAAATCGAACAAATAGCAGAAGAGAACGTGTAAATATATATACATATAAAGCATATTTTTGGAAGAAATATTTCATTATTTAGATTCTAAAATTTATTTAAAATTGTTAAAAGTTATATATATTTTACTAAGATTTTTTTAAAAATTATCCTTCAAAAGGATAAATGTAAAATTGAACAAAAACTCTAATTTATTGTAATATTTTGTAATCAAATAGTTCAATTAACGTATAATTTCTCGATCTAATTGTTATCGTTTCTATCAGATTTAAATTTCTGTTTGTATCAATATTCTGCAGTATATCTTTCTTTAAATAACCATTTTTGAAGCTTCGGAAAATATACATGTCTTATTTTTCTAATCGCCTCGTTTCCAATCGTTCTAATCTCGAATAATTTCGACGTTTTCGCAAAATTATAGTTATTAAATAAACAAAATTGTATATCTAAATTAACGAAAATATATTTGTCATTTTCTTATAGGATAGACGTAAATTTATGTTATTTTTTACTTTATTATTATAATGTTTTATGTAATTTTGATAAACCGAATAAACACCAGCAATTATCCCTGCGAACTACGCGCATTGCATTTGGAGGAGAAACGTAACTCACAATTATCCGATGGCTGTCGAGTTTCAGAAGTAAGAGGTATTTTGCGGAGGTTTCTCGCGAAACTTGCGGTGACTGTTGTTTGTCTTGCTATTTGCATGAACGCCGCGTACGTTCGCGCAGTACGTACGTACATCATGTCGCTGCCCACGTTGACTACCGTTGACATCCCATCGCGGTGCCTTATGTTGCGAACGGTATGCCTTACAAACTAGAGTTAAGCTGGAGAACTCTCGTTCTGTCAGGTGACGGTCATCTTGTATCATAGCTCTGCCATTGTTATGTTCGTAACTAAAGCTTTCGAAACTACCGATTTCATCTTAAAATGTAAAAGTCAACAAACACAAATTTATCCCTCACGCGATATTAAAATAATTCAGATATTATGCGAAAATATTTCAATTTATATATATATATTATATATATATATATATATATATATTTAGTTAAAATTGTCGTAAACTTAAGATATTTATTTCTTATTTCTCATTGTTTTCATATTTAAAATAAAATTGTAATATATCGATTTTAATATATGATAATTTCTTTCTCTTTCTTTTTCTTCTCTCTCTCTCTCTCTCATCACAATTATTTAAATATAGATATAATTTCGGAAAAATCTTTTTAAGATACTTTTAGACATTGACCGAATAAATTCTTCAATACGCTTGTCTGCTCTTTCAAGATATTTTTGTTGCTAAAACGATTCAGAAAATCGAAATTCGCACATTGTCGATATGCACACCGATTGATATTAATCCGTAATTGTTAATTAAACGGCAGACGACCACTCGCTGGTAAGCTCGCAACCACAATTCTCTCTCTAACGTGAATGTACATCGTCGGATTCGATCGCTTTAAAATTACAATTAGCGCCTGTAAACGGATCCGCTTTGCCTGCGGGCTTTATACAAACTCTCGTACTTTGACCGAGTCGACGAGAGCTTGCAGTGGTTCTCCTGTTTCGAATCTATCCGGTATCTAGCCGTTACCGCAGGCATTCTCGACTGCCATTCTCGACTCTCACTATCATCTTGTCGAAATTTCCATAGGCACGACGAAATAAATTACATTATTTCGTATTTCTATTCTGCACAATATTCATTGTAATGTAATGCCATTGGTTTCAATAAATTTGTTACGCATATCAAAAGATTTACGCGTTATTTGTAAAGAATTTGTGCGATAATCGGTATTTTAAACATTTATAAAATACGTATAAGAATCTAAATATGTTATTCAATCCGATACTAAATAAACCATTTATACTTTTTTGTGATGCAACAGATCATGGAATTTTAGGATTCTTGCATATTATTATCGTTAATTCTTAAATACATAATACATTGTGATTATTGTGAAATAAAATAATGAAATTAATATATTGTACTAATCTACGTTATCCAATTTTATAATCGCATTATTAGCTCAGATTCAATGAATTTTTAATAAATCGATTACAATGATGTACGATTGCTGTAAGCACATGCACAAATAAATGGATTGCTATTTATTAATTCGGAATAATATCGAAAATTCATTTGCCGAAGCGATATGACATTTTGAAAGTGTGAAGTGTGAGTGAGAAAAACAATGCGTTAATTCGGGGATCGGAGAAAATTATTTATAATACCTATGCCATGTACGAAATATTAATTTCCTGATGTATAATAATATGATACATGTATTAAATTTGATAAAATCTCTGTGAATATATGTATTATACATCGGCGAAATATTCTCGCTTTTATTATCAGATTACACATAATAAACATTAAATTTATATTTTATATTTTATTAAATAAATAATAAAAATGAACTATATTATTTTATTTATTTATTATAAGTTCTTTTGATTGAAACTGAAGATTATTAATATTTTATTTAAACATTTTATTTCATACAGCTTCCGAATTAAATTTTAAATTGTTTCCCTTATTACGAAAAACGCAATGTACGGTAAAAGAAAAACATTTCTGTTTAGTGAAAAAGAAAAACAATAGTACGGTCCGATTGCGCCAAATAAACTTTCGTTCACAATCTGTATATTGACGCTGCAAGGAAGTTAAAATTTAATCGACCTCCGCAATCTAAGTCGGATTCGGTAAATATCTATAATAAATCAGCAATTATCGTAAAAATCTAAGATATATTATTAGATTGCTCTTGCACGATATACACTCGAAAATGTAGAAGGTGAGCTTTAAGTTTATGAGTAATGACATAATTTTCTACAAAATAGATTAATAGATAAATTGCAATAAAATAGAATATTATACAAAATATATATTTATTAATATAATAGTAACTGAAGCCTTATGCTTTATTTATTTTATTCAAATATGCTTAATATGTAAAAATAAATTTTGTATTTACTTTTCCCTTTCTTTCCAAAAAATTACAATTTTAAAATTACAACTTCATTGGGAGATACGTTCAAACAACAGAATCAGTTATATATCCCTTGAAAATCCCTCTCGCTATTGTTTCGATCATCCTCTCATAATAAACAACTCCGAAGACTTACGGCGCGATATCATATATACGTCAGAATCTTGTGAGGTCCCTACGTTTTCCATTCGGCGATAACAACCAGGATCGATGAGGAACGCGGAGCTCGCACGTATCACTACCACGGCCATTCCTCCGGTGGATGGTATTGGCACTACCACTACGTACGCGTCCATTATCGCGCGAACGTAGCAAATCCAAACCGACGAGTCAGCCCATCGTAAACACGGGCACAACCAGCGAGTTTAATTCGATTAGGACGCGATCATCAGATTGCTCGATCGTCCGGCATCGAATTCCCCCTGCGCGCTCGTGTGGCTCCTATTCTCTTTACCTCTCTTTACCCCCTTTGCCGGCCTCTTGCATGCAAGCCTCAACATTCGCCTCTGACCCTCCCTTAGTTCTCTTACGCTCTATGCACGCGGACACACGCGTTCGTAGATAGACACGCACACGGTGTGCTCCCCCCTCCCCCCCACCGTCTCCATCTACCTGTCCGATTTTACTCTACCAGCCTACAGACATCGAAATGTATACGCCGTGTGCGGAAAGTAACGTCTTAAAATCAGGTATTTCTAAGGAACTTTCAAAATAAAAAAATTTTGCGGATAAAAAAGAAAGAAAGAGAAAGGGAAAGAATTGAATTTGCTTTATTATAAATATCCTGACATTCTCACGAGACGCCCTCAAGTTACGAGAAATCATATATTCTTGTTGCATTATACAACTTATAAGTTACTCTATAAACATTTAATACACGAACGCGTATGACTGCTTAATTAAATACTGAATGATACAATTTGATGTGTATTCAGAATTTCAATGACATCAAGTCGATAACTAACGGCGTTGTTTCGTGAACACCGTCTAAATGCATGCACGCAAGAGAGAGAGAGAGAGATAACAGTTTTGCGGAGCATTGTCGAGGATCTCGATTCTATTCGATTCGATTCGAGTACGTGAACGCCGAACGAGCCGGAAACCGACGTTTGCGCGAACACGAATTTACCCTACTGTCCGGCCTAATGGCACGGATTTCATTATGCCGGGGTTTGCACGAACGTAAACGTGAGGGTGGATGAGAAGGATAGAAAGGGGAGAAAGCTAGACAGTAGGGAGGAGGGAGGGATGAAGCAGCGAATGTTATACACGACATATACAGAGACACAACCGATTTGGAATGCAAAACTGTTGTCCTAGCAAATTTGCGACGCCGCTACTAGCGGAAATATTATCGCTATACCCACATTATATTACGTCGTCACGTCGAGATAATGCTGATTTAATACCGTTAAGTCGACTTTCAACGCGCGATATGTAGTTTACGCGATTCGTGAACTAGATGACCGTATCTGTTTCGCGATTGCAAGCATTTATAACTGGATAACAATCGAAATCGCGTTCGATGATATCGACAATAATTACTGGTATCATTCTGATGTTTCTGTACGTTCCGGTAACACGGGTGAGATGGGTAGCGCTAATTTCTCGTCATTATTCTCTAAATAACAGCCATTTATCTTAATTTAACAGATCCTCTGAAATTTTTGGAAGTGCTAGATTAATGGCATCATATTTTTATCAGCATTAACGAAATATATATATATATATATATATATATATATATATATATATATATATAATTGTGACATATTATATTAATATAATATTTGAATATAAAGATTTGAAATTAACATTGTTACAAAAGAGATATATCTACTTTCCGAATATTCCATAATATAATGACCAAAACATTATCAGAATTTTTGCATTTCTCTGAAAACTTATTATTTTTTACAATTTTAATTCGGACAAAAGCTTTGACGCGTGCATGATTTAATATCATAATTAAATAATAATTCATTACAAACTTATTGTGTTTAAAAGCGAAAAAAAATAATCTGTTTATGTGTGTATACATACACATATAAAAAAAAACTTATCTAATATTAACGTCCAAGTAGGCGATAAGGGATAGCTAAAAGATTTTCACGTATATACATATGAGCAGTATGTACATCTTCCTGTTTAAATGTACTCCGTACTTCGCATCGAACGATAAACTTAGAACAAACGATCGAGATTAATAGAACGAGGCTTGGGGTCCCGTCTGCGATACTATCGATCCACGCCACAGCACGGCGAACGAGATACACGGGTAAACTCCCTGCGGGATCGTAAATCCACGTCGAAGATTTACTTACTTAGCGGAGTCGGCATCACTGACGCCACCGCGACGACGACAAATCTGATCTTTTTTATAGGAACAGAAACAAGCTTATGTGCGGACTCGCTTTTTACATTCATCTGACATATAAAAATTCCAATACCTTCTCTTAGAACATCGATCTCGATAATTTAATTTTAATTTTTATCTGATTTTTTTATATACTTTTAAATATATCTAAATAAAGTAAGAAAGATTACGTGTTCATTACGTCTACAGATATACACGTTGTAATAAAATATGTATTTATGTATACACATGTACATATTATGTATATATAAGAGCAAGAGGAAAAACATCATTGCTTATTTGCAGAATTTTATCGCACAAATAATAGTAAATGACGTATATATAGTAATAAAGTGAACAACGCCATAAAAGGTGCCGTCAATTCTCAGCTATTATTACGAAATGTATAATATAAAATTAATATATCTCGAATATATGTAAATATATATAAATAAATTATGAGAAATTAGAGCAAAAATTAATATATAAAATAGATACAATTTAATAATTAGCATTTTGCATTGAGTAAATTAATTTTAATACTAGACTGACTGTGAAATAATTTTTGTTCTGTTTTTATATTTATTTTATATATATATTTTATATATTTATATATATTTTATATGTTTTATATCAAAATTTTGTGCCAAAATGTCATTAATATATCTTTGGTGTTTTTAATTTTATTTTTTTGAAATCTTTATCTTACATTTTATGCAATATGATAGTAAAATGAGTTGAAATAGTTGCACATAATTCAAGATTAAATAGTTTTATTAATTAATCGTAGCTCTGTTAAAAAATAATGGATCTATGAAATATTGTATAATTTTTATAATTATCACACATCTCACTTCTTTTATTACTTTTAACTTGAATTTTTAATTTTCTAGATTAATTCACCATAAAATAAGTAATGGATATAAATGTATATCAAATAATTATAAAAATAAACATTTTTAGGAATGAACAATACAAAATATTTTGTTTATATTTATTATTGGAGATTCAAAATTTTATAATTTTACTGATAATCTTGGCCTATATATATTCCTAATCTAATATTCATAAATCCATCTCTTTAATATAATAGTGAACAAAAAATTATTTAATACTCACCGAACGAATGTGCAACAGTGAAGCAATCGTAGGACAATTATCTGTAAATCACGCTGTAGCAATACTCGTTTATCTATAAAATACAAATATATCCAAATTAAAACAGAATTCAAAATAATTTTCATAAAGTAATTAAAATAAATGTGTATGCATGTGTGCATACACAATTAAAATTTATATTTATATTTTAAATAGATATATATAATATATCTAATATAAATTATATATAGATAAGTATTTTTAAAAATTACATAATTTTAATAAATGTACTTTTATATATAAAGAAATAGTATGTTAATTATTGTAATTATTTTATTAAATATAAAAATGTTTAAATACAATTTTGAATATTTTGAGTTAACATCACATTATAATGATATAGAATTACAATGATGTCGATAATATTGCAGAAATAAATGAGCAATTAATTTTAAACGAATTAATTGTAACAGATAATAAACAAAATAAATTAAAAATTTATAAATTGCTTACCCTTCCAATTGATTATTCCGCCGTTATTTTTTCCAGTTCTCTTTATTTTCTCGCGCCTTTATTCTTTGCATCTTCTTTGTTCCTCTTCATGGTACAAAACGCTAACATCCAAAAACATGCATCACTCGCCATAGTAATCCTATTTCTGCTGTTAACAAATAATATACACATATTAAAGCAAAATTTGCCACATGGTAACATAAATGAATAAATATACAATTTAAAATTAAAAATAAATATCCATACACGGTCTGCAATATTCGAAAACATGGTTAGATTTGTCGATATGACATTTTCGTTTGCATGACAGATTTTAATCGAATAAATCTCGCAAGATACGTATTATATTTTGACAAATTACAACAATGTAAAAATGCCGAATTTATGATATGTAGCTAGATAAATATTAAAATCTCATTTTATTTTCTGTTTCAAATGGATACATTGCGCGAAATATTCGTTTTAATTAATTGTCAGCATCGCGATACTTTTACAAATAATTTATAGAGAAAATTAAGTCATACTGGCTGAAAATTGTTAATTGTAGTAGTTGTAGAAGATAATCGGTTTTATATGACGTTAATTCCATTACCTGATACTTCTTGTAATCGTATTTCGAAAGATAGGTTACAATGCATTCGCACTGCTACCCGTGCGAATATTACCGCACAAATGACAACATGGCGACTGCGCAATAACGCATTTCACTTCGCAAAAAACGAGCGTTGTGCGATACTTTATTGCCGCTACGAAATATATTTACATGATTTATATGCTGTTCTTTGTAATTTCGAATCAATTATTAATGAATAGTTGATGTATTTTATGGCTTTTCGTTATTTAAATCATTCGTGTATTACTGCGCGCATTCTTGACCCCGAAATAATGGACAAATATTTAACGACAAATAATCCGAAATATAATACAAGATACTTCTAGAATTAAATATCGTTATAAAAGTGATTACTTATAAATGTCGTAAAAAACAATTTATGATTAGCGTCCGCAAAATTCGTACTGTTTCTCAAATAAATAAGTCATGTAAAATATTGTAGGTTAGATGAATAATTGTCCCCGTAGCGAATAGATATACTCACGAGTTGTTAATCGTAGATGTCAATTAGTCACGCGAGCTAATAGTTCCTGAATATTCATAAGAAATGTTCACATTCTCTTCTCGTTACGGTTATATTTCGATAAATAATAGAACGACACACGGAATGTCTCACGCCGCGTCCTTCCCGCACGAACTTCGCCGCGCAAGTGGCAACAAGATCATCGTGCGTAAACAACAGCGCGGTCACGCCACAAAAAACGAGCGCCAAATACGTGGTAGTTTATCATGAAATATTCAACATAATATTTGCATAAAATATGTATATTTATATAATTTATAATATTATATTCCCCTTGTAATTTTAAATTTATTATTATTAATAAACGATTAATATGTGTGTGTGTATTTTACTGCTTTTTACTCGTGTATTACTACGCGTACTCCTAATTTCAAAAATGCAAATTATATTTAATGACGAAAAATCCAACGCTAGATATTTCCAAAATCAAGTATCAAAGTGATTGTTTATATATGATGTATTAAATATTGTAATGAACAACCATTCATGATTAATGTTCGTAAAATTTTTGTTTTTCATATTCATATAAATAAGGCATATAAAATATCTGTTTTCAATCAAGTTGTATCGTTAAATAGATACGAGTTATTAACTGTAGAAACTAATTAGTTTCCTAACAGACTTAATAAATATTTATCAGAAATGATCGCGTTCTCTTTTAATTTATCGCTGCTGTATTTCTAATGAGTAATCGAACGATACACGGTTTCACGTTACATGCTGCTCGCCGCAGAAATGACAACAAAGTGATTTTGCGCATCCATATAACACGCATACGTCACAAAAGACAAATTCTCACATCATAAAAAATATGTAATGTATCATATAAAATAAATATACATTAAATACGTTCTCTTTTTAATGAATTCTTAATTTTATAATTACGTATGTCACTCTCTATCCAATCACTGTCAATGCTTTAATTTTAAACTATTATATTTTTACGCAATTCATGAATTCTTGAATCAATCAATGTAATGAAAATTTAGCATTTATGAGATCGTACATGTTTGAAAAACAATCCGAAGCTATTATCATAATACGCAGCCAAAAAAACAATTATGAAATATGCGCCAAAGTGATGGATCTTCATATATTACGAGGTCTGATATAAATATTGTTAACCGAAAAAATATAAATGTATATAAAGAAGAAAGGAGAAAGTGCAAAATTGTTTTCCCTTGCCACTGTTTTACGTGTATTTGTATTGCCGCGATCAATAAAAATTTAAAGAATATTTTATGCTGTCAGGTGCAATAGTACAAAGATTTTTCATGTTACCATATTCACACACAAAGAAGGCGATTTACGTTATATATGACCTTATAGAGAAAATTTTACATTTCCAGTGATAAAACATGATAAAAACATCTCTTATTGTATCGTATAAATGTACGTTTGAATTAAATAAAAAAATAAGTACAAATGTATAGAGAAATGAAATGAATGTATATACACGGTGCTTCAGATATAAAAGATTCATTACATATTCGCCAGAAGCGTAATGAAACATTAAAGAATGATAATTCGAGATGTGTTTTTATAATAAAATCTTATTTAAAAAGAAACATTATTTTTATCATTTTTAAACGCGGCTATATTTATGAAAGATATTAAACAAAGTTGGAAAATTATGTTTAAAGAAAGAATAAATAAGCTCGATGCAATAATACAAAACCCGCAAAGACAAGGTAACACAAAGACAAATTAATAAGATTACATTTTTGTTCACTAATAATATAACTTAACGTTCGTTACCTTTGAAGGTATTCTTTATGCAACTTTTTGTATAAAAAATACTTTAAAATGCAGTGAAATAAAAAGAAAGAAAAAAAGGGCAAAACAGAGAGAACAGGAGAAAGAACTTTTCCGAGCAAATGAAAATGAAACTAAATTTTGTACGAGAGAAGGAAACTTACCACTCGATTAAAATCAAGCAGAGTATTACACGCATCGAAACATCAGAAGCGACAGAATTTTTAAGACCCTCAACATATTTTTACAACTTATTAATTCATAAATTAATTTTGATGATGAAAAAAACACTTCGACATGTAACAATACTGTCTGCGCTCGAATTGCATTTTTCGCTAAACGCATTTCGTCAACGGAAATCTAGCGATAAAGAGCACGTCATACCGTTAATGAAAATGAGCGTTGAGAGAAGAAGACCACAAAGTGGACGTCGATAAAGTCACCGTGGAGCAAATGCTCGACAACCCCAACGACGAAGAACGTCGAGCGCGGAACAAATTAAATTTTCTTCGTTGACTAGTCCAAATTTTCCCGTAGAGTCCTTCTCGACGTATTCTTCCTTCCTTTGCTTCCAGCTCGTTCGAAGGTTTCCTTTTTGGCAATCAAACGAACAGGCATCAAACCTATACCAGCATCGTATTCTGAAAGGCGATAAAAATTCCTATTCTCTCCATTATCGCTTTATTTTTCTTACAATGACATTATAGGCAATTACTTCGACAAATTACATCGACGAAGAGATGTTCTGACGAAAAATTATAAGCATAAATTTTTTAGCAATACGTAAAAAAAGCATTTTTAGCGCAAAAAAAGTATTTTTCTTTTTTTTATATTTTAATTATCGCGTGTCTCGGCTTTTCTTTATCAATTTTGTCACGTAAAAAAATTATAAATTTAACTTATGAAAGATAAAAGACAGATGTATACATTATGTTTAGTTTCGCGACAAAAGTTAAATGTCACATCCCGAAAGCCTCAATGGATAGACATCAATCATTTCCTGCACATGAGAAAATTCGCTTTAATATATTTTATCCATCACGGAGTGACCGTTGTCAAAATGGAATTGTTAAAAGGATGAAATAGAGAAAAATAGTCAAGAAATTCAAAGCAGCAAAGTTCAAATGCAAAGGTAAATCAAATCACACCTGAAATAACATAAACCGAAAGAAGCAGGTAACAAAATGAAAGATAGTAAATATGAGAAACACAATAAATAGAATAGATGAAAATTAGTAAATGATTTTTAAATATCTATATCTTTTCTTAAACTATATCTATGTCTAACTTATGTATAACATATGTTGTATAACATATTTTTACATTTTGATTTTTGGGGTCTAAGATGTACAAAATTTCTTTTAAATAAAAAATTAATATATTTTATAGTAGTATTTTTATCTTATATATATTTTTTATTGAAAAAAATATATATAAGATAAAAATACTACTATATTTTTTATTGAAAAAAATATATATAAGATATTTAAAAAATATATATATTTTATTAGAAAAAAGAAATCGATGTAATCATTCTCGAATGATGTCTGGTGTAAATCACAGATAAAATGTAAGAATGCAGAAAGAAAGATAAAAAAATGAACTGTATGCAAAATCTCTAAAATGCCGTCGGGCCAAAGATATGAGAACGCCCAGCGGCTTATCCAGTTTGCATGAAAGTGTTCTTTGTGAATAAAGAAAAAGTGTGAAAGTCAGGGAAACCCGTTATATATATCGCACATATTTCTCGCAAAGAGCAAATGCATTCGGAATAATACGTTGCATAAGAAGGTAAATCATAATGTAAGAGAATTAAACTTTATTAACCTGCATCATGCATAAAGAGGTTCGTGTAATTACAAATTTAATCATATTAAACTAAAGTATGCATCATTATAATTATAGCTTTGTTAACAAATTATTTATAATTAAAATAATTATAATTTATCTTTTTTAATGCTTTAATTTATTTATTAAGAATATATTTCGTGATAAATTTATATTATATAAAACAGATTTAAGTATATTCAGACATGTCCATTAAATAAAAAGATAAATCATAAATCTAAACAATGGTTTCTAAAATAGATTCTGTCTATATACTGTTATTTTACTTTGTTCTATATTTATATATTTATGAAAATACATTATTCAATGGAACAACGTTAGAAATTTGGTTGGTAATTGATTAATTTTAAATATCCCATTATAGCCCTTTGATTATAGCATTGCGTGCGCACTCTTATACCTGTGCATAAACGGACTATAAATTACACGTAAGATGATCCTAAGTTTGTATGTGTATGTGTGTGTGCGTGCTTGCGCGAATACAACGGGCACGCGGTAGCCTAACATAACACTCGTCTACGTATACACAACTTACCTCGAGGAGTTTGCCAGCGTTCTTGCTTGCATTTACCTAACCACGTTAACGGGTCCTCCGATCCAAATATCAGCTTCGAGGAAGCCTCTGCGGCTCGCGCTTTCCATACACCAAGTCGGTGCCAAGACCGGCAACCAAAACCTTTGTCCCTACAAACTGCCGCAAAACAAATTTTGAGTTTCGCGATTTACCACCTAAATCGAAATCTCTGTCTAGCTGGTCTCTCTTTACAAAATAAAAAGAAAACAAATATGATAAAATAAGAAGTAATTTAAAAGCTTTAAACTTCATAAATTAAACATTATCATCCGAAGTAGAATTTTAATTCTTTGGCGGAAGAACTGACATCTATGACAAATTATAATTTGCTATAACAAATTCTGAAAGGGGATTAATGATTCTGATAACTAATCTATTCGTTAATAAATTGTCGATTATTTGAGATTTTAAAAATACTTTAGCTTGATAGCAGAATTAGGAACTGTTTAATGCTCCTAAATTTATATAATTTAGATTTTTGAATTGCAATTCCTTGGCAGATAAAGCACCTTATATGTTTTCGACACAAGAGAGAATTATTTAAAATAAGTTAAATCCATTATAACTACAATTATTTAAAATTAACTAGAATTATTTATCTATTAACTAAATTTTTTAATATTTTTGATCGTAGATGAGCGGCAAACGGACCAGAAGTTTCAAGTGCGCTGTGCACCATCGGGACCGTGAGATCTGTTCCGAAAACGATTTCCATCTGCTTGTGCACGAACCACCTCTATTTCGCAGGTAAGATAAATCACGTCCGACACATTTATAATCTATCGAAATGCAATAATAGTGCTTTAGAATACGTATTTTTCGTTCTCCATTAAATTTTCATGAGAAATTTATTTGGATTTTAAAACTTTCTATGACAAATTATAACTTTCTATGACAAATTCTGAAAAGGGATTAATGATTCTGATAATTAATTTACTCATTAAATTATCGATTATTTGAGATTTTAAAATAACATTTTGATTTATTATTATTGGTAATTATATATACTGATCGATATAATTAAATTATATAATTAAACTTATTAAATTAATTAAACAGATAAAAAACTTTGATCGCGAAATCTATTACCAAAACATACCATTAAGAAAATCGTATGCATCCGAGTTAAAATAGTGCGAAATAGGAATAAACCGATTTTCTCGTGCGATATGAAAAGCAAGAAAGACACGCGAAAATGTAGCGAATGCGGATAAAACGAAGACGCGAGGCGCGAAGAAAGTTCTGCATTTTATTATTCCGGCGGAATATCCGGCGTGCACACGACGACGGCGACGACGACGATGACGATGGTGGAGATGGCAACGGTGACGGTACCGTTCTTGCAGTATTTCTGCTGTGCATTTTATGCTGCGCATCGTTACCCATGCGAGAGAACCCCGAGGAGGTACCAACATATCTCGTACATTGTACGACCTGCGAAACATCAACATCTTCCTGCTTCCTACGACCCGCTCCTACGATCCCACACACTTCCTTCTTCGTGCCTTTCTCACTTGCGTATTTTACGCTTCGCGAAATTATAAGCGCAAGGATATATCGTTATTTATATTTACTTTCACGCTTATAAATCATAAATTTTTCTTTTCCGGAAAGTAACGCAGATCCAACATTGAAATATTATGAGTTTTCGTGAAAGAAAAATATAAATTGTTACCGAATGAGAGAGGTAGAGGAAGGGAGCGCTGATGGAAGCGGATTAGCGTTATAATCGATATGGTAAATATCATTCGTCGTTAATCACGCATTTAACGAGTTCAACGAGAGTTCGTCAATATAACTTACAGAATAATCGCTATTACGCGACAGGCTTAATAATATAATTTATTGACGTTCCTGATGCAGTTTCAAATGTAATTTATAAACGTACGTGACGAAGTATTTGGGACGCAATTTAAATAAAGGCATCTCACCTTTCCATCGTTATCTATCGCCTCATTTATAATAATATCGTTGTGCATCGATGTCGTCTCGCAATCTCGAAAGTAAAGTTCGTTTCGCCGATACAACTCCGATGTTAATTCCTTTTTTTTTCGCGAACCAGCTCGATAAGATGAATAGGTTTGGATATGTATCGGGCATCGCAAGAAAGTGTTGGGTCTCTCGAGCGTGGTCGATTCGACTTGTTCCTGGATGCTATTCATAAATAATTCATCGTATCGTCCCGCACGAAAGAAGAGATGGAGAAGGTGGTGCTTAACGGAGTAAAAGAGAGAAAGAAGTGGAAGAGAAAGAGAGAGAAAGAGAGGAAAAAATAGAAAAAACAGAGGAGACAACGAAAAAGATAGACCACGCGAGGTAGACTTTGAGAGAGACACAGGAAGGCGGTTCTATATGAAACCTAATGAAATTTAGTCCCGTTAGTTCCATTGTCAAGGAACGTCGAAAATAATAATTTTGTTTTTTCAAAATAATATTTGTCAATTACTTAAAGTTGTATGTTTCGAGATCAAATGATACTTTAATGCATATCTTGTTATTAACTGTAATTTTCAAAAAAATCATTATCCACATTTCTGGATAGAAAATTGAGCGAAAAGAGGAAAGGAAAATATACTAAAGAGAGAAAGGGAGTAGTAGGCAAATGAAAAGTAGAGATATGCAAGAAAAGAGAGGAGGAAAGTTGAGCACTGTGAAATCTGAGTGTCGCGCAGCGCAGTGTCGAGGCGAGAAATTCCTGTGCACACAAGATAAGAAGAAGCGGCAACCTGCAGGCAGGGCTCTTTGCAAATAAAATATCGTCTCGTGTCAAGCGGTCAGGGGAGGGATAGGGCCGATGAGGGGATTGTTCGGGGACGGGGATCCGACGCGTTACGACGGAAATATGACGAGACGATATTCCGAGCAGGTACTGGGCGCATGCTTGGAATTCGGTGCGAGTACAACCCTTAAGTCTTGGGTGCGCCAGCCTCGCACCGTTTCCCGTCTCACCCCTTTTGTCATCCCTCTTGGACGCTTCCACGATCTCACATACTCGCGTATCTCTTCGTCTCTTTGTTTCTCTTTTTTTGTCCGCACTCCGTTACGTTAACGCGATGAGGAGTATGTAAATTTCACCGCTGACTCGCGAAAAGGTGAGACTACTTTGTTCCTATCTCCTTTCCTTCCCTTCGGTTCCCTTGAGACCTCGTACACTCGACATACCTGGAAAACTGAGCGCGTGCATAGTGGCGACGGTTTATGGCGGGCGATACATCTTGGAGAATCGTATTGGATATGAAATGGTGATGGCGATGGTCGACGAGAAGATGTCGAGATCTTTGAAATATGTCGACATGAATTGCAACGGTTATTCAAGCAGATCGCATTAATACTTTAGCTTTAAATCGCGTTAGGCTGTTTGTGTGTGCATAATTACATTAATAAATGTTTTTAACGAACTTTAGTATTTTTAAGAAAACAGATTTAAAATCTCTTCCTCTCTCTCTCTCTCTCTCGTAGACATGGAAAATGTTACAAATGGATTCACTCTCGTGATTTCGCCGGAACTATACCGATTTCTGCTCCGGCAATATTTCCGTTCACCATTGTTGAGAAAAGAAGAGACGGAACGCAAACCGTCGCTTTGGCAAGCGTCGCTTCTCCTTTTTCTCTCTCTTTCTCTTCCTTCTCGCTTAACAAACTCGAAGCGGACATTTTGCAAGGTAGACCGGGACAGTTACACAAAAAGACCCGGTTACATACATGCGGAAATTCGCCGCGCCCGAGTTTCCCACTTGGTCCCGGCCCTTTGTCGACCCCCGCATGCTACCATTTTTCGCTTCCGCGAGAGCGTCATCCAGCCGTTATGCGCTCGTTCACGCTTCTCGCCAACGTGACGATGAGCTTCTGCTCTCGCGGAAAACCACTTCACTTCCTCTCCCATTGCATACATACGTTACCGCTATAACGAAGCGTCAGCAGAGCGCAATTATTTCGCGCTTTTAACGCGTTCTCTCCAACTCTTCCAGAAAGAGCGCGAACATTCCTGTCGAAGCCGCGGAACCGTAACTTGGACGTCGACGTGAAACTCGGCCGCGTTTTGTGATTAAAAACTTGGACCGCAAATTACTTGCAGCTTGCGAGAACATTACTACTGAGTAATTAAGGAGAGTCTGTGCAGATCTCGTAGTGCATTCCGAACTTTGAAGGGTTCGAGAAATAATTTTAAAATTTTCTCAATCGAAAATGTATTTGAATTAAGAGAGAGAGAGAGAGAGGGGAGGGCCAAATATTTTCGCTTGTAAATATTAAAAATAGTGTTAAAAATCAGTGCTAAAATAGGACACATAAATTCGATTATAATTATAATTAAATTATATTAATTAAATTATAATTATAATTAATTATAATTATTATTATAAATTAAATTATATTAATTATAATTATAATAATTAATTATAATTATAATAATATTAATTATAATTATAATTAAATCCTTAAATGGAATAATTCTTCACTTTTTTCACATTTTAAGAAATAAAAAAAAGTTTGAGAAAAAGTTTAATAGAAAATCTTTATATATTGCTATATAAAATATTAAGTGATTAGGTATGTAATTGTATAAGACATTTCTAATTTTTATTGTTTGTATCTGTCTATTCGCATAACGACTCTATTATTTCAAAGCGGTCGATTTTCATAATAATTTCACAGCCTTTCACACAATTTGTCAGCCTTTAGAATAGGATAGTCGGCTTTTAACAAAGGCGTGAATAATCCTTTTTTTGGGAAAAATTATTATTATTTGTCGTTTTTTGAAATATACCGACATGCCATTCATCAAAGACCGCCTGCGTTCCAAGAGTGAGCTCCTGGAAATTTTTTCTCGTTTAATCTACCTACCGCACGAATCAAAGACTCTTGGCGACAACGGATGCACGTACTCGTTGTCACCGTCGACGGAGTCGACTTTGTTGCTGCACATTGTGAAAGACCGTCGCTCATTGTTGACCATCAAAGGGCCGCGTCTCACGTCGAAAATCGTCTGGAACGAGAAAAGAGAAACCGGCAAATTGGAGGCTGGACCAATGACGTGTTGCTATGGCCTTCTATGCGAGAGTTGCGAAGCTATTTTTTTCAATATTCGCCAAGTTGGTTCAATATTCGTTTTAGTGTCCTATAATGAGGTGATACCGGTACACAAAGGATTTAAGGATCCAGAACAGCATATCAAAACATAAATAAAATAAAAAGTATGAGAAAGAGTGATCAGTATAATTCATACAGAATTTTAAAAAATCTGTAACGTATTTAGTATATAAATTCTTTGATGATTCTTAGTGTAATATAGTGGATTTTATATATTTGATTATATATGATTTTAACAAAATAATTATATATCGCGAAATGAATATCATAAATATATTTCGGTTCTCATTTATAAAGTAAATGTTCGGTCATATCATAATTTTTTCTCTCTTTTATGTACATATATTATCAAGTACTGGTTTTTTATCTCTTTATAAAAATATAATAATAATTCTGCAAATGCATAAATCAGTTAAATCACGTTATTAATTTCGAAATCAGTTAAATCACGTTATTAATTTCGAAGTAAGTTTTGTGTAAATTATAAATTTTAAGATTTTCTATTTTCTACTATATAAGATTTAAATGAGAATTATAGCATAATTATTTTTAATTCAAATTTTGAATTTTATTCAAAGATACTGAAAAATAATATATACAAACATATAGATATACTTACAAAATGCCAATTACAATTATATAAATAATTATTTATATAA